TAACGTTTTCGCACAACTATAGGACGGCAACGAACAGTGGTCTTCACATTCAGCAACGTGAATTTTGTTTCTAATTTTGTTATTAAACGGCGAACTTGTACGTAATTTGCGAACTGTTTCCGCGTAATTTTCTTCATTTATGAAGTGAGTTTTCACAATAATTAAACGTTGCTCGTTCGAATACTGCTCCATGACGTCTAATCGCGTGGTCTTGACATGACAGCTGTTATCAAGTAAACAAAATATCATTTGTACAAAAAAATGGCGGTAAATTCAAATCCGGCGCTCTTTGTAACATAACTCCCACACTTCTACATCCAACAAGGCTGTATTTCCGAAGTTGTTGAATCTATTCAATAAGAGAATCTTGATTACCCATCGGGCGACCCTTTATAGTTGCGTTAAAGAATTTGTGCAACGAGGCACGATAATATCGGGAACATGCATCCGTGAAATAACCAATCATCAAACACAGCATGCACTTCCTTATGTTTGTGATTTGTGTTGGATGATATATAGCAGGAGAATTCCTTCCCCCTCCTTATATTCGTTCAGTCAAAAGTCTCGGGTGTGTGCGGGCTATTACGTATTATCCAGTGCGTTAGATGTATCTGCAACACATGTTTTTGATGTGCCCTTTAACAAGGGGTGGATTGGGCACAAGGGATTCACCACTGACGACAACTTCGTTTAGATTTCCGAGCACTGCGAAGGCGGTTAAACGTCAGATAACGATGTATGCATTTAATATTAAACTGGTTCGATAGAATATAGGATGTATTAAATGTAGAATATTATTTTTATGCGTACTGCACGTTTTCAACATTTTAGCTGCCCGATCAGCGTTTTCGGAATTGATCATAAGTTGACTTAAGGTGAATTATACCATTGTTTCAAGAGAAACCTCCCAATGTCTAAAAATACCTTTATATACTAAGTGACATCAGTAAATCAGAACACCCAGTTTAAATGGTTTTATTTTAATAAAAGTTGGTGAATGTATTTATCTTACTGTAAATAACAAGTGAAAAAATTTTCAGCCTTATCAGTTGGACATTCTGGTTTTTATACTGCTTTTTTTAATTCACTAACGATAACGCTCTAAAAATGAATATTTCAGCCGCAGTAAAGAATCAACGTTGGCGGATTTTGGTTCTTGACATCCTTTACGATCGGTTACGATGCCTAGAGTACGGAGACCTGTACGATTTCGTCAACTTAGTGAGTTTGATAGGGGCCGTATAGTGGGACTTCGGGAAGCTGGACTTTCTTTTCGGGCAATTGCAGTTAGAGTGCAAAGAAGTGTAGACACTGTGGTTAGGTGTTGTAAGGCATGGCTTCGAGAAGGCCGTACGCAAAGAGCCAGGGGGACTGGACGCCGCCGTAGAACAACAGGCCGTGAAGATCGCCGCCTAAGATTATTGGCCTTAAGGGACCGTTTCTCCACTACCAGGTCCATTGCAAATGAATGGTTTGCAGAACACGGAAGACCTATTGGCATGCGAAGTGTTTAGCGACGAATGAGAAGTTTTGGCTTGTTTTCATACCGGCCACACTGGGTCCTCCCTTTAACTCGAGAACACCGACGTAATCGCCTTGAGTGGTGCAGACAATGGTCACTCTGGGATCAGGAATGGAACAGTATTGTCTTTAGTGACGAGTCTCAATTTTGTTTAGGCATGCACGATGGTCGTGCCAGGGTTAGAAGGCGACGTGATGAAAGGAAGAATCCACAGTTTTTTGTTGAAAGAGATGTTCATCACACTGTTGGAGTTATGGTTTGGGGTGCTATAGCTTATGGTTCCAGGTCACCTTTAATCTTCATCAGAGATAACATGAACGCGCAGCGTTATATCCACGAAGTTATAGAACCCTATCTTTTACCCTATCTTGACAGCCTGGCAGATCCAACTTTCCAACAAGATAATGCCCGACCACATGTTGCAAGAGTCACAATAGACTTCTTTCAACATAATGATGTCACATTGTTACCATGGCCACCAAGATCTCCCGACTTATCTCCAATTGAGCACGTGTGCGATATGATGGGTAGGAGATTGCTCAATTTGCAACGTCCTCCTCAGACTCTAGAAGCACTTCGAGAGGAGTTGGTGGTTGCCTGGAATGAGATACCACAGGAGGACATTGACCACCTGATCAGAAGCATGTCTAGGCGCGTTGGAGAATGCGTAGCACATCAGGGTGCATTCACACATTATTAAAGGTCAAAGGGCTTTAAAGCAGTGCAATCATTTTGAAATTTTTATCATTTACTTATTATGCTTCATTAAGTACTTATACAAAATTTTATTAAAATAAATCCATTTAAACTGGGTGTTCGGATTTATATGTCACTTAGTATATATTGTCAATCTACTGTGATGATAAATTATTACTTATTATTATTCATATATTTAACTATTTAATAGATATTTTATTAATCATAATTAATTATTAATTATTTATTTTTTATTATCCCAAAATTGGTTACCAGCAAAACTGCTGAATCGGGTATTTCCTTTATTGAGGGTATTTTATGCATCTATGCTCATAAAATATTTCTTCAATATGGGAAATATCACTTTCAACAGAATTTAAATTGTAAACAAACTAACGGTACATTCCTAGCATTCCTAATCTCCCGGCGCAATCTTTGAATTACTTCGTTAGTTCTTCTAGATCTCCAGGCAAGTAGGCGGCGCAACCATCTGACAAAACGTCAACGGTGTTGCCATTTTTTAACGTACAGCTCCCACTTCTTCAGTCTTATGTGTTTTGTGGTTCGAGCCGTAGCGCTCTGCGAGTAAGTGGGATTTTCGTGTTCTTGTTGAAACTAACCTATTTTTACCTGCCGTCCGCATGGAGCTTTCTCTGATCGAGGATCAGCGCATCAACACAAGTTTCTTGCAATGCCAGGCAAGAACGGTTGTTAGATTTTTGAATGTTTCGGGAAGTCCGAGAAGATGTGAAAGATGACCAACGCTCGGGACGCTCCTCCACATCGAGCCCTTAGGGAAATGTTGAACGAATTCGGGGCTGTGTACTTGAAGATCGTCGATTGACAGTTAGAATGATAGCTGAGGAACTGTCAATCCCCAAAACAGTAATTCACGAAATTTTGACAGAAAAACTTGAAATGAAAAAAATTATGCGCGAAAATCATTCCGATGCTTTTGACTCCAGAACTGAAAGCAAGGAGGGTTGCTCGCTGTGAGGATTGTTTGGAAGCAGAGGAAAACGGGGACTTTCTCAATCGGGTCATCACTGGAGGCGAGTCTTGGTTCTACGAATTCTATGTGGAACTGAAATCTCAAAGCATGAAGTGGAAGCAAGCAGGGGAACCGAGAACGAATAAGTCGAAAAAATCATGGTCCAATGTGAAAACATTGTAGATTGTTTTCTCTGATTCTAGGGGCATTGTTCACCAGAGCTCGTGTGGCCCGAGTTTGAGCGGATTTAGCACAAGGGGGCAGGTGGATCGTTCATCACTACAACGAGCCTGCTCACACGTCTCTCGTTGTGCGTGAGTTTTTGACCCGAAGCTCAATCACTGTGACAGAACACCAGCCTTATTCACCCGACTTAGCCCCTTTGCGACTTCTTCCTGTTCTCAAAATGCAAAATGGTGCTTCAAGGGTGGCACTTGGGGGATGTGGAAGCCATCAAGGCAGAAACGATACGGCAAATGAAGAGCCTCACAATTGAAGACTTTTAGCGATCATATCAACAGTGGAAACTGCGTCAGCAGAAGTGCATGTCTGTTTCTTTATGGGCCTGGGCGTTAGGGAAAGGGATCCTCATATCTCCACAATCCAGATCTAGCAAGATACTTTTCGCTGATGTTTTGAAAGCGAAAACAAAAAACACACCACTCGTTGCTTAAGAAACGGGTAGCCTATTAGGTATACTCGTATTTTAATTCTCAAGCTGTATATGACCTCCTTGCAACCCCCAAAGGACGCCCATGGTTATCATAGTATCAGTTCGTTTGGCGACCCAGAAACCAGCCTGTTTAAGTAGAAAAATGGAAGAGAAAAGAAAGAAGGGGGAGAGCAAAAAGGAAGAAGAGAATATTTTAGGACAGAAAACGATTAGGCATTGTTAAAATCATTCGATAGATTTGAACTTGTCAAATGCGCTAATTTTGATTGTTTAAAATTAGCGACTAATTTTGATTGCTGTGCAAGCTGCGGTCTTTTATTCTCGCGAATTTGTTTGGCTGTGTAGTCCACTCATTCGCGCAACAGAGTTGTAGATGACGAAAACACTAAATCCACAAATGTTAGTGATTTCTTTCAATGAAAATCGTCTTTTCTGGGGGACTGTCCAGCGACTTTTTCGTTGTAGCAATTTGAACGTAAAAGACCTCATTTTGAAGTTTGTCGATGTAGCTTTTTGATTCATAATCCAGAATACAAGTTGTTTGAAAATCTCTTTGTACATTTTCCCCATTTGCCACAAGTTAGCCTAATAGCGGGTTAAATTATTTATTTTTTAACTTTAGTTTTTCCCTAATCGAATCTTGGCTTTTGGCCAGGACTTTTGGAACAGCTTCCCAAAGATCGATGAGTTTTATTGAAATTTTCTCCTTAGACTTTCTTTTCAGCTGTTTTTCTTATATCACTTGAACTTTTATAAGCCTCTGTAATAATTGAACGCAATTTAGGATCATTCTAAGCAATATTTTGGCTGACCTAGCTCAGGGAATTGGGATGTTGTAATCACAGATCAAGTCATCATTGCTCTTCGTAAGTAACTTTTTCAAAAATAAAGGATCCATGTAGATAGAAATGAATTAAACAGAATGAAGTTTGACGCCGGTGGGACTCCTGACCGTAATTGTGGCCATTTACGCCACGTTATTCTTGTATAAGGAATTTTGTAAAAGTGTATGAGCGTATGTGTTCTAGTAAAATGAAACTCATCACTGATTTATCTTAGTTTCTGAACATACTAATAACGTTTTTAAACAATTTATAACAAGCCTAAAATTAACTCACCTGACTGTCCTTCAGTCCTAATTTTTCGGCTAGCTTCTTTCTGTCGGGTTTGCTGATATACTTTTGAATCTGAAACCTCCTCTCTAGGCCCTTCCTCTGTAAATCGCTAAACACAGCCCTCCTCATCATTCCTCTCCTTGGTTTCCCCCTGCCACTGTGAGCCCAAGGGAAGGTTCCGGGAAGCGGGAATACTGCCGTTGATTGGGTACCATTCACCGGACTTGATACTGTTGAAAAAATAGTGACTTAGCCTAAAAAAAGGTAGAATAGAAAAAGAAACAAAAAAGTAAACCATGGCAGTGACAGAAGTTTCAAAGGTTCTGTTAGTTCTGTAGTACAGGCTCTACATTCTAAATCTTCATGTTTTTACATATGACAAGCTGCAACTGGCTGAGTTATGGCTTTCGCTTGCTGCAATTTCTATTGTTTCATAGACACATCATTTGCGGATATTTTTTGGTTTGGGATCAATAATTCCAAATCATCGCATATTTGTTGTTTCTATCATTTACATTCGGATTAGCTATCTCTGTGATAAGGTCAGTTCTTTTTCCGTATTCTGGTTAGGTTCAAACCATAAACACTTCCTGTTATTCCACACAGCCGATGGCTGGCCTTAATTCTAATATACCTGTATCTAGATACCTTCATCTGGAGTTCAAGACTATGTTCCCTTCATGGACTGTGGAACCCCTTCAAATAGACCACGGTTGCTTCCTTTTGAGTTGCACCCTGCAACTTTAGCATTGTTGCTCGTCATTTATTAACAGAAACGTATGAAGACAATGCATGAGTCAAGGAAACCTGCTCGATCTCAGTAGATGGTGTTCTTAGGTTATTCCCCATAAGGCCATTCAGGGAAATTAGTCCACACAACGCCGTTGGAAAATCGGATAATTCTCGTACGTGCAAGATGTAGAGTAGGTTCATCTGAACTGTGGTGAAAGTAGCTTACGGTCATGAGGTTCAAGTCTACCTTATTAGGTATTGGCTTTATGGCCGAATTTGGGATTTTGGATAAGCTCGAAATGCCTAAACTTTTTTAATTTCCATAAATACTTTGCAAGTTACTCTTTGCCTTGTTATACATGGTAAATCAAAAATGATGTTCCATTACTCCACCTTTGAAACACTCTGTGATGTAACTCCGCCAGCCAATCAAGTCATGATACGGTCCATTATCAAGAACCACGTCTTCTCTACAATTAGTTCTTTGTCAGGTTCACGTCAGTATATGCAGCGGCAGTCAAATGAATTAATTTCAAGAATTTACATTTTTCCTTCCATAACTTTATTTTTATACCCTGTCATTTTAAAATTTGTATCACGAAATTGTACAGGAATCTAGTGTCTGGTTCAAGTTTTTCTAGATTGCTACAGGTCTGCGTAAAATTCAATTACTCCAGTAAAATTATCACACAACCTTTTATGAGAGATATTTTACATTCATTGTGTACAAACTTTATAACTCCATACCACCGCATTATAAATTATTGTGTAGTAGGAGCTTTAAAAAGCAGATAAAAATGTTTATCATTTCTAATAAATAAATGTTTAATTAACCATTATGATTCAATTACTGGTCACCCAATATGTCTTCTTCCAATTTTTAATGCCAGTTTAATCCAGTATTCAAGATAATAATGATACAAGTGAGGTTTGAGTAGAAGAGACCATGTGTAGAACTCAGCCTTGAAATTTTCCTTTGTATATTCAAGGTCATTTTAAGATCAAGCGAATATTTTCAAATAGGACCCCCTGTTACATACGAATTAAAGAGAGGAGGAAATTCTACGTCTGTCTACGACCATGACCTTCAAGATCAAGTCAAACTTTTCAGAGAAAACCCCTCGTGTCATGTTCTAATGTGACCTTGATCTCAAAGCCAAGGTCATTTCAATCTTGAATGATATTTTGCCAAAATTGCAGAGAGCAAGAAATTTTATATTTGAACGTGTAAAATTTTAACATGACCTTGTAAGTGGTAAATGTCATAGTCAAGGTCACCTTGATCATCTATGCTAGAGCAAATGTTATTTGATTGTCTTGATTTGACCTTGAAATGACCTTAAGTGTCATAAGTGTTGGTCATAGTCAATTCCGGTGTAACCAAGGTAAGTTGTATTAAGGACTTTGAAGGTCGCATGGAAGTGACACCTGAACATTTCAACATGGCGGGTGGGTGCCATCTTAAAACATACTTCATAATCGTGCAGTATCAATTTACTATGTTTCAAAATGACAGTCTGACAGTCTTCCAAAGTTGAGTGTTCACCAACTAATCATCCAGGGTCTTTCTAAACGTTCAATATACTACATTCTGTTAAAAAAGTTAGATATTTTGACATTATCTTCTAAATAGAATATCCCATGCTTTTAGACTTCGGATAGATCCTTCCAAGGAAAGAAGATTTATATAACACATTTTGATGATTGTTGAGTTATAAGCAATTCTTTGTAGAATAACGCTAAACTTTGAGAGCCCCCTCCATAATTTTGGAAAACACTGGCTTGATATTCTAGGGTTATAAAGTGCTCATACGAGGCTTGAATACGAGATATCACAAGGCTCATTCCATTGAAAAAATATCAATACGATGCTCTACCGCCATCTTGAAATTCTCAACTGCGACTTTTACACTTAAATATTAGTATTCGTGCAATCATTTCATAACCCTGAATTTCAGCTTGCTAACTTGATCGGTTCAAAAAAGGGGCTTTTTGAAAATCCCTGTATGTGAGGCGAGCCTTTTATAAAGGTCTTTTCATTGCTGCGAAATACTAACAACAATAGCTACCTGTAAGATAGGGTTGCGGCCTGCAATGTGCCAACAGCAAATGCGGGCTGAAATGGGCGGCAGCAGCGGCCGCTGCAGCTGCCGCCCCCGGTGGCGGTGGGGGTGGGCGCGACGCCACCGGTTTCGCAATGGGCGTCGCGCCGCCACCATTCTGCTGGTTCTGTTGATTCTGGTGGTTCTGTTGGTTCTGGAGGTGCTGCTGTTGAAGGTACGTTGATAGGCCAAGCAGGTTGTGAGGGGATGACACGTGCACCAGGTTCTCTGGAACAAAATGATATTGGAATTGGACTAGAAAGATTGCTGTCAAATTTTATAAAAACCTTAGGTCTATCAGGGTTCATACCTAAGCATATTCACTTCGAGAAAGCACCTTGGTGTGGTGTGAAGGTGACAGCATCACTTTTGATAGATGTACTTAAGTTTACCCATTTTATACATTTTCCAAAACTCAACTCTGTTAACCAACATCTGCAGTATTTTAAATATACCTCTTACATACGAATAAATAGTAAGCCATATTCTCCTTCCCCAAAGGAATCAGAATTTATAAAACGAATAAATGATAGTGAATGGTGACTTAGTATGAAGTTGGTGTGGTGTTCCATTAACAAATATAAGTTTAAAGGTGTTTAAAGATGAAAGATTTCAAGAGATGTATTAGCAAGTAATAGCATATCTATGGTTCAGAGAGGAGCCTAGGGGGTTGGGGGTTGGAAAATCGTCTAATTATTGTTGGTACACATAAAAAGTATGTATGGACATATATATGTATGTTCTATTCACAAAGAACTTGGTCCGAAACATTTATCGGATGCAAAGACCAAACAAGGCATTTTTGTTGCCCGTGTCAGAAAGAAGTTAATGTACCCTAACAGATTATGAAAACATAGTGAACAATATGGTCAGCAATTTCTGTGAAATGGATTATGATGTATTGTCAAATTTTCTGCATTTTCATATGACTTCTTTTCCCAGAATCTCGGTGCCGTAAGTGAAGAACAAGGTTAGCGCTTTCACCAAGATATTTAGGCAGAGAGCACTGAGGAAAGTGTAACGCAACAAAATCATGACAGGCTACTTCTGGATATTCCAGATATTGAAGAAAACATACGATAAAAAATGTAAAGGTGTTTTGGAGGAAGTTCAGTCATGCAATATTGCAGCTTAACACCCAAAACAACGATTTTTAGCGACAACTGACAATGAGCGATGAAGCCCACTTCGATATGAACGGATTTGTTAATAAGCAGAATTGTCGTATCTGGGCATTAGAGACGACCACTAGATCCTCGTTGCAGGTAATTCTCTTACTGTCACTGGCAAGCGCTACCGTGATATGGTGCAAAACTTTCTGGCTACTCAAAACCAACAATTATACCTACAAAACATGTGGATCTAGTAGGACGGAGCAAGTTGTCACACATCTAGGGAAACAATGAATCTTTTGCTAACAATATCTCCGGGACGTCTAATTTCTCGATTTCGTGATGTCAAATGGCCACCAAGGTCACCGGACTTGACGGCTTCTGACTCTTTTGAATAATAGGGTTTATACCAAGAAATCAAATACTGCAGAGCAGCTGAAGAACAATTTACGGAAGTGACTGAAAATGTAATCAAGAGAGTTCAGGTTTGCGCGGCTTCTAGAGGCAGAACATTTGTCTGATATTAGTTTTCATACATATATAATTTCTAAGTTTCAATGAAAGATTAAGATGGAAAAAATGGACGTATTTTATTTCATTTCACAAGCATTCAAGTTACAAACCAGTCAGTTACATATTGGCCACCCTGTAGAAGAAGATACCATACGTCTTTTCGATTTAGTTAGCTAATTTCACATTAAAGCATTTTAGTTTTTTCATGGAAGGTGTCATAAAATTCTAAAATTTGCACCACCTTAATAAAAATAAATGCTAGAAACGTTAGAGAAAACACTGCACTTCAGAAAATGTCATAGTTATTAGTATGGGAAAAAGAAGGTTAAATTTTGTAAGTCTGTGTAGTCCGACGTCGATTCTCTTCTATGATAATTTGCTACTTACGCAGATCCTGAAGACTTATTTAAAATCATTGATAATTACTTTTTCAACTAAAATAAGCATACAATGTCAGAAAGACTTTGAAACGGCAGAAGAAAATGAACCCAAGAGCTTAATGTGTCCAAAGCAATACAGTGGACTGTCCAGTCGCTTATTATGTATTTAGGGAAGAAATGAGGTGATCGGGAATCGTTGGAATGGTGAGAGCTAACTAAGGAAAAAGACAGGATAAAATTTTTACTGAGGAACAAAAAAGAGTGATCACGAAAAATTTACTAAAATGTATTAGGAGGATCGTAAGAGCATAGAATACTTTACTTATTTTATACCACTGTGAAGACCTGACACGCCAGACTCTTCGACTATTTGGCAACGCAAACTCTAAACCGAAAAGTTATACTGCTCTGTGTCAGAATTCTGGGGCTTATTAAAATATCAAACTGGATGCAGTGTCATAAGCTGTAATTGA